AAAACATGATTATCCTACTGTCATTTGTGTATAGGAATATAAGTGGTAGATTGGGTAATTCAAATCTAGAACACTACTCTTCTTAATAAACTTAATTTTCGTTGACCTACAACTCATTTGTTGTTCGATTTTGAAAAATGTAATAGTAAAATGTCATTTCCTATCTCTAATTATTTTAAAAACCTAACAATTAAACTAATTTCAAGCTACCCTTAATGCGGCAAGTGTTGAAAGAGTCTTTCAGCTTTGGGTTACATCGAGAACAAGTTTACAAATCGAATATGCGATAAGTTCGTGAATGATAGTCTAGTAGGGTATATAGAGACAAATTTTTTTAACACTATAGACACCAAGTGTATTCTACAATTATTTCCGAATATGAAAACAAAACATGGATTTTTTTAACTTGTACGAGTAAGGTATTTTCAAATTTACGATTTTATTTTTATTAATTATTAATTATTTTTATTTAATTTATTTTTAAAAGAGGACACCCCCTATGTAAAATTTCTGGGTCCGCCACTGGACATGGACATAACAATTTTGGCAGTATGAAAGCTTCGTAAATTTGCACTTCGACTATGAATTTATATTGCTTTAACGACATTTATGTTATGATTCATTATTAGAGCAACAAGATGTTTCATATGTACCAAAATCTCATGGTGTACATTCTGCTATATAATTTGAGTATCTTCATTATGAGTTGGTCTAAAGATCTTGAATTGTTAATTGAAAGTTAGTCCAAACATTAAAGATCGTTGGTTGATGTATATTATTATATAAGATAATTATTTATATTGTTTGGTTGAACAATCATAAAATTTTACTTCGAGACTTTACAAACCGTCATTTAAAAGAATCCTCCAGCATTTTACCCAAAAAAAAAAAAAATCCTCCAGCAAGTGCTTGAGTCAAGATCAGAAGAGGGAAATGTCACATGTGTGACAAAAAAAAAATATTTAAAAGGTTTTAAAGAATATTCCTAGTGAGATCTTTCTATCTAGCCCATTAATTAAATTGAGTTTGGTGGTATAATACTATACTCTAACCTCTCATTATAAAAAAAAAAATACTATACCCTAACCTCTATTGAATAAATCAAAAATTGAAAAACCGTATCGGAGACTGTAGAGGAAATGTCAGTGGTAGATTATTTTTATGTTGAAACCGACGTTTAACATAGTTAAACCATTTCTAGTCGAACCATCGGTACGATGCGGTTTTTTAATCTTTGAGATTAACCCCAAGTTTCCGATTATCTAAACTCAAACCTGAAGTTGAATTTACTATAAAACAATAATTGAACGTTGAAATTGGTCGGAGCTCATCTAATTACATTTTATGGTTAGATCACCTTAAATATAATATACTACTAAACTATACCCTTTTTACCATATTTAGTAACCATATTTTTATCTAATTAATCGATTGGGGATAATTAACGAATTCCAAACTACGCACGCTATACTTGTTTTTACAGGAGCGGATCAGGTCAGTAACCTTAGGGTCAGTAAACTATGAGTAACCCGTCCACATTAGCATGCCATCAGCATCTCTCTCTCATGGAAAACCTTTTATCTTTTCCTCTTTAATCTTAACGGATGATTTCTCTCTCGTTTTAAGTCAGAATTTTAAAAAAATTGCAGAGATTAATCAGATTAATTGTGCTCTTTAAAATGATATCTACTTTGATATATTTTTAGAAAAAAAAATTATGGCATTTTTTACTAGTCAATACCATATGGTATTAAATACGAGCATACCATATGTTAAGTAAGTGTACCATGATGGTATCAACATACCAAGATTGTAGGAAAGTTGAGTACATGATAGTAGGAGTATAATAACTGTCATTTACGGCTTTTATCATTGTTTACCACAAGTTATCACCACATACCAGGGTGGTAAAGTATGTTAATTTTTGGTCCTGTATTTTTTTCACCTAGAAATTTGTAGATCCAATAGAACATGATGAACTCGTTCCTTCTGAGCAAATATTTTCAAAAACTACTTAAAAATGAAGAAGTTACCATATGGTATGAATTTGGTAACGGGAGGTATGAAAAAAATCTAAAAAAAATATTGAAAATTGATCTCATTTTGCAGAGCACAACGAACTCGTTCCATTTGTACATAAAAAAATTGAAATCCGAGTTAGAACGAAGAAGATAAGAACCGATTAAAAAAACTAAAGAAAATAAAATGTTTTTAATTCACAACCCATAGACTTGAATTTTCTGGGGCCACTTAGATCTAAAGGTCCATATTTAGTTACTCATGAGTCAGTAACCAATGTCATCAGCCTGTTTTCACTACGGAACAATTAAGGGGGTAAGTTGGAAATTACTATATTAATAATGTGGGTATGCCTATGGTGACAACTTGGAGGACACGGTCGACCTCTTCCATCAAGTGGTAGACCTCTTCCACCAAGTGGTCTACCACTTGAGTCATCCGCTCTACCACTTCCGAAAATGAGTCAACTTGATGACACACTTACCTTCAAGCGACCGACCTCTTCCACCAAGTGGTCGACCACTTTCCAAGAAATTGGTCGACCTTTTTCACCAAGTGGTCTACCACTTGAGTCATCTGATCTAACACTTTCGGAAATGGGTCAGCTTGTTGACACACTTATCTTTAAGTGGTCGACCTCTTCCACTAAGTAGTCGACCACTTTCCGAGTCAACCGGTCTACCGCTTCAGAAATGGGTTGACCCGATGACACAATTATCTTAAGTGGTTGACCTCTTTCCCCAAGTAATATACCACTCGAGGTAGTCGGTCTACCGCTTCTGGCAATGGGTCGTCCTATGACACACTTAACTTCAACTTACAACAGCTTGTTGGAGGAGGTAGACCGCTTCCGCCAAAACAGCCTACCTACTATTGCGCAAAATGGTTTACATATCTCTCTCGACAAATGATCTTCGCTTTCGGTGAACAGTCGACCAGAGAACATAGTTACCTTATACTTACATTTCGAAAATAATGAATGATAAGAGACCAACAATATAAAATTGCTTTTGTAGTAACTCAACATCCTATCAATTGTGGGCAATGAAATCCCTACGCAGATAAACACCCTCTTTTAACTCTTCTGGAATAAAAATCCACAAAAGTGCTGACATGAAATTTGTGGACGTCGAAGATGACACAATTGTATAACAAATATAATCTGCTTTTTGAGCATCTTCATAACAACAATAGCAACAAAGTTGATCCATCACGAGACAACTATAAGATATAAACAAAGAAAATTTAGAATAAAGGAAATACGAAAAGTTTTATAAAGTAAGTAAAATATAAGAAATAAATATGCGGAACATTTTTCAAATCTACGGGAGAATAATCACTCGAGAAACTTGTCATCTATGCTTACATCCTTTGTACTAATTTTAAATCTCTTACTAGCAAACATATCTATTGTTATTGGACACTACTTATATATGATGATATCACTAGAAATGGTTTATTAGGTAGATCAATTATTAAAAAAGGTGGGCCGTTTTGGGAAAGAGATAGACCACTTGAGTTAATACCCTATGGCTACAAAAATTTGAAGTTATACTATAACATAAATGTATAAATTTAGTTTGTATTATAAAAAAATTTTACAAAATAATATAACGTACAACTCATAATGTTAAAAATTCAACTTCAATTTTCACCATAAAAGCAAAAATTAAAACAAAAATTCCTCTGGCGCGTAAAGTTTTGCTGTCTCTTTGTTTACGGAGCTTTAGTTAGATAATTGTTTGCCCACTTACTGTTACAGTATAAGTAATTATAATCATCCGATTTTGTAAAGAAAAATGATGTAGTTAATTAATCATTAACGGTTTCCGTTGACGGATATACATAATGGAGTAATTAGTTATTATCACCGGTTGTTACGTGCATGGTTTGGAATTTGGATAATAGAAGTTTTTTGTTCGTATATTTAGTGGGGAAAATAAATAAAAAATGGATAAAGTAAGAGGAAAAAATTTCACGAATCAAACTTATAGAATTTCTCTGATTATGAGAGATTTGATATCAATAGATTTTAGAGATTTGAAATCTCTAAAACTAATATCCACAATACAAAATTAATAAAAAAACATAATTTTCTACAAAATCTACGAATTTAGTGAATCCGTTTCCGGAATCTTTTGACTTATTCATATATATTTATTGTAAATAACAAAAATTGATAAGTCTATTATTTTCTTACTTATGTTGATTATTCGCATTATGTTAACAAACGAACCTTTATTGCGAAATTTCATTTTAAGTCAAATTATATGAATGCGTAGTGTGTGGTTATTTATGCGGATAGTGTCATGTTCAAAGGTATACATTAATTGGTCGCTAAAGATACATATTAATGATAAACTTGTGACAGCTATGAGATTATTTTTCATGTGAATAGTAGTTGGTCCAAAGATAAACTGTTATTTGACAAGGTTTACATTTTATCTTGCTAATGGTCATAGAATTATGATTTAATGCATGTCCTTGTAGTATATGTTAGGTTGTTCTTTTAACTAAGCAGTGGGCACATTACAGTCTTTTTTGCATTCATAGTTTTTTTAATATGGTATTGTTCCATTTCTGAGGAATATAAGGACTGTTTTTCAGTAAATTCATTTTGGGCTGATTTGATGTTTTTTAAATCCCTATAAGATAGCTTTGCAGACTCTGCAGTCTGCAGAATCCTCACGATTAACAAATGTTTACCTTCACCGAAATTACATCACTCCATAGTCCATTGCTTGAGAAATTACAAGGAAGCAAAATACAAAATATGAGCTCTCTCGACTGACACAAGAAAACGGAGTACAAATTCTTCACCCGCACAAGAAACGGAGATTTGAATTGTGTACTCTGTAGTCTGTACACTGCCCGCACGCACCTGCCCTGCCCAGGCCGTTACTTTCCCCTTCCCTTCTTAACCTTCTCTCCAGTCTATATAACACCAAACTCAACCGCCCTCCTCCTCCCTCACTTATCTTCTTCTACGCTCATTTTCCTCCCCTTCCCTTCCCTTTCTTCTCATTCTCTGCTTCAACAGCCGCCGGAACCATCTCCCCAAATCTCCGATCAACCAGAAATCCGGCCACCATGAATAACACCCCCCACTTCGTCTTCGGGATTCTGGGTACGCTCTCTGCTGCAACTCTTCCCCTTCGCCATTCTAGTTTCTTTAATTCTTTCCCTCAATCTCCTGATTCTCGCGTCTCTCTGTTCGCTGAATTACAGGGAATGCCTTCGCTCTCTTCCTCTTCCTCGCCCCAACGTGAGTGTACCCATTCAATTTCCCGACTCGGAAACATGGATTTTTTTTTTTTTTGTCTTCACTATCGATTGCATTTACGGTGCTCGACGAAATGACTCACTGAGGGATTGTTTGTTCTTTCTTTCTGTCTGTCTGTCTTTGTTTCTTTCGATTTTGGGTTATAAACCTGCAGGATTACTTTCAAGCGGATAATCAAGAACAGGACGACCGAGGAATTCTCCGGCGTCCCTTACGTGATGACGCTCCTCAACTGCCTGCTCTCCGCCTGGTACGGGCTGCCTTTCGTCTCCAAGGACAACCTCCTCGTCACCACCATCAACGGCACCGGCGCCGCCATCGAGATCGTCTACGTCCTTCTCTTCCTCGTCTTCGCCCCCAAGAAGGTGAAAGCCAAGATCGGCGGTCTCTTTGCCGCCGTGCTCTCCGTCTTCGCCGTCATCGCACTCGTCTCCCTGTTCGCGCTCCACGGCAACACCCGCAAGCTCTTCTGTGGCACTGCCGCCACCGTCTTCTCCATCATCATGTACGCTTCCCCTCTTTCCATCATGGTAAGTTCTTAATCAATTAACTATTTAATTAATTAATTAATTAGTTAGTCAGTTACTTATCTCATCGCATCGATTTCCCACATGGACTAATTACTAAATAACTTATTTTAATTAATCCTCCCCTAATTCCCTGAAGTGACCGTTTAAAGTAACAATGCAATCATTTTTTTGTTCTTGTTTCTTGCTGGAAGCGTCTCTGTTTTGTTTGTATCTGTGATTTGGTTGGATCATTACTTCTGTCAAAAGGGAGGATAGTGACATCATAGCTCTCAAGATCGGATAAAAAGTCATCATCATTAACATACGTTTTTTCGTCCTTTTGCTAAAAAAAAAAAAAGATGAACAGAGAGAGTTTAGGATTTTAACTTTGAGCAAACGAAGGAAAATTACTTTGTTCGTGTTGCTGTTTGTATAGTTGTTGCGAGGAAGATTTTATCACGATTCTCTCGCTCGATTCTGAAGACTTACACTTGAATTTGAGTTTAAATTTGAAGGTTATGGGTTATTGCTTGTATGCAGAGGCTGGTGATCAAAACAAAGAGCGTGGAGTTCATGCCATTTTTCCTGTCACTGTTCGTGTTTCTGTGTGGCACTTCCTGGTTCGTTTTTGGGCTGCTCGGCGGTGACCCTTTCATTGCCGTGAGTAAATTCATTTCACACCTTAATTGGGTTTGGTTGATTCTCTTCATCATTACGTGCCTAAAATGGGATCTAACGTGCTTCATCAACTAATACCTATGACGACTTTCTTTTAATTTGCAGATACCTAATGGGTTCGGGTGTGGGTTGGGATTAATGCAATTGATTCTCTACTTCATCTACCGTAACCACAAGGGCAGCAATATTGCGGAGAAGGAATCGGCGATGGAGATGGGTTCCCAGAAGAAACCCAAGCAAGGAGGCAACCATACTCATGGCAATGGGAACGATGACCCAGGAGCTGGTGGCCCCCCGACTGCCATTAATGAATCCCCTGTGTAGAAGTAGAAGCGAGGGAAAAGAAGTGCAAAATTTCCAGCCAGAAGGTTTTTAGGAGACTTCAGCTCTTTGGTGTCCACAATATGCGCTCGCGTCTCATCTTGTAGAGCTACTTTAAGACACTAGCTAGTGTATTAGAGGGAAATTATGCCTACACAAGGAAGAATTTTCATTAGCCAAATGAAAAAAAAAGGGAAAAATAAAAAAATATTGTGACTATGGAAGAAGCATACTGTTTTCATTGCCTAGAAATTGCCTTTTGATTTCTCATTATGAAACTGTACTGGAAATTAATTGATGAGCAAGTGTTAGTTTATAACATTGTGACGAAGTCGTGGAAGATACGATAAATTTACAAATTTTAGGACGTGTCACTTTCCCTCCACATAGATCAAAATCGAAAAAACATCAAATTGTCACCATTTTTAGAGTCATAAAGCTAAGTGAGCATCTAGCTAGGACCAAGAGGAGCAACATGTAAGTACGGCTGAGAATTTGGTCTAGCTTTTCAGTCAAACTGAAAATCGGTTCGTTTAAAACAATTTGGATGCTACGTACTGAAAACCATATCGCTTTCAATCTACTCTAGTCTCTCATCCTCCTAAAAGACGGAAAAAAAACCTTTCGAGTTTGGTCCGATTAAAAACAAAATTTTCCTTAAACATTGCAATGTGCCTAGCCGCCGCACTCACAACAAGCCCTTCCTATGAGCCCAGAGCCCCACAAACCACAATCCTAAAACTAAGAGGTCATCTGCTTCATGAATTTTAAAATGAATATTTTTTAATTTAAAAACTCAATGATTTGTTAGGGATTTGTTGCATTCTTATGAATTTAGAAGAGTCCATTGTTTGCTTAGTTGATTCGATCATGGATTCATGGGTTATGCATTTATATTTTTAAGATGTATATTACCTTACTACCCTTCTTCCTATTTGATTTATAACTTGTGTTTCTAGTTTTATTCTTGTGCCCATATTGATAATTTGTGCTTTAAAATTGATATTTTATAGTAAGCTAATAAAATTAGTAGCCACATGGTATTAAAATGTGTAGCTAATTACCATATATAGTTGTAATTTTACAATTCATGGCTAAAATTTGTTTGTTAGAGACTTAGAGCTACTCTTGTAACAACAAATGTGGTTTGTAAGGGTATTACTTGACATCCAATTCAAAATTTGAAACAAAAAAATTATACGTTATGGCTCCAAAAATTTGTGACAAAGACCTTCACAAATAGTAAAAAAAAAAAAAAACCATAAGACCATGAAGCAAATGACCCCTAAGACCCTACCCTAAATAAGGAAAATCAAACATCCTTCTTACTCTAACCCTAATCGACTCTTTCCCTCCTCAGACAGTCCTCCATACATCACCCCCTCTCAACCTCTCCAACCATCACGTCGTCTCTTGTGCAAAAAAAAAACCAAATTGTCATCCTTCTTTGTTGGATTTTTTCCCTAACTACATACGTTCTTATAAATTTATAAGTAATTTTAAATATACAATAGCCTATAAAAAGCTATGCAAAAAAAAATTTATGATGATCGAATGACGGAACACAATGTTATGTGAAATCACAAAATGACCTTATTTGAAGATGAAAGTCGAACATACCAATTTCAATTGTTTTTAGTTGCGAAGATCTTGAAAAGTTATACAAAATAAAAAAAAACCACGTTGATCAAATAATCGAGCACAAATATAGTCGTTTGATTTTTTTCGTGTATCAGATATAGATTGTAAGGTTAGAAGCGATCTGTCACTGATTACTGAGTTCAGAAGCGATCTGTGTGTGATCTGTCTCAAAATACACATATTTTGGGAATTTCTTAAAAACAATTGTATTTTGAGAATTTTTTATAAGAACATGTGTAGTTAGGGAAAACCCCTTCTTTGTTGGACTGGGCGATGGCCACTCGTCAAAGGCGAAGGCCCACAATGTTCAGCAATGCCAACGAATACACCACCAATTGCCATCCAATCCCGTGAATCAAGTCAACCGATAACCAGGTGACCACAATGTCCTGTCTCTCTCCACTTCTCACTCTCAAGTCTCAAGTCTAGCCAGTTTAGTCAATCTGGTCTAAGTCTGCTCCTCTACCACCATTGCTAACTAGCTCTTGCCTCTTTATTCTCAGTTACGACTAACCTAATCCGAGGAGAAGAAGTTGACATGATGAATCGGGGAGGAGGGGAGGAGAGAGAGACACCTTCAATTGTGGTCCTTCTTGAGCCGCGGGTTAGCGGAATCGTGCTGAGGAAGTGTGCCGTCAAATCAAGTTTCAATCCTGTTTCTGAGTTGATGCACATGGATTCAGTGATGGAATTTAGGTCCTCTGGAACCCATGTAACGATTGAGACTTACCATTCTCAATTGATGAGGACTTGGGGGATTGGATATGATTTTTCAGTTGTTTTATTTTTTTAATTTAATAATGTGGCCAAACAATGTAGTTTTTTAGAGAGAATTGAGTCTTTCTAATATTGGGTTAAAACCGAAGCAGACTGTTTTGATTCCAATACAGTCATTGTTAAAATCATTTTTAATTAAGTTCAGTCTTCGGTTATAGGTTTGGCTAAAATTGCATTCTAGGGTCAATCCAGTCTGATTTGACCGAACAAGACTATTAGCGGCCCACACGCAAGGTGTCGATTCCATTATATCTGCAAAGTAAAAAACATGTTGGAGGGAAAAGTATGATGCTCTCCCTCACTCCCTATCAATACGTAGTAGGTGTCGAAAAGGTCCATAGTTGGATGGGGATGACAATTGAAAAAGATTTATATACAGTTTTGTTGATGTTTATGCCTGGTATTATTTTGGCCTATACTGAGATTAGTGAATGAATGAAAGAGAGGCTAATTTCAATGATCAAACATTAAAAATCAATACAGCTATAAAGTATTCCTTTATATTATAGCTCAACTAAACTATACAAAATGATCATATTCCTATTTTATCGGTTCATTGAACCAATGACCTATCTATGCTAAAAACTAAATCGTTTTTACTCCGTCACCCCCCCCCCCCCCCCGGTGAAGTTGGAGCATGGATGTTAATGCTTCCAAGCTTGGAATTTAGATGCTGGAATTGGTCAAAAGACAACGGCTTGGTGAAAAAGTCAACTAGCTGGTCAGGTTTATGAATGTACATTACTTTAATCACACCTGCAGTAAACCTTGTCACGAAGCAAATGACAATCTAGCTCAATATGCTTAGTTCTACCAAGACTTACCGGGTTTTCTGACATTTTGATTGCAGAAAGTATATATAATGCATATTTGCTTTGGTAGAGTGATATACCTTCATATGAACAAGCCACTTCAAGTCCTCAAAAAATATTTGAGATTACCAATGTCCTTAATTTTGAAAGCATCATCTAAAGACTTTTTGATATCATGTATACTATTCACATCATTTCCAGTTAGAAAATGTCATCAACGTACACTAACATAGCTATAAACTTGGAATTAGAACGTCTAGTGGATAAAGTGTACTCTGACTTAGACTGAGTAAAGCCAGTAGCAAATAAAAACTGAGTCAATTTATAGTTCCATTGGCGACTTGGTAGCTTTAAACGAAATAGTGACTTGTTTAGCTTACAAACTAAGTGCTTAGTGTTACCTGTAACATGTAAACCTTGAGGGAGCTTCATATATACTTCCTTGGTGAGGTGACCGTGTAAAAAGGTTTCAAATAGCAGTTATTGCTAATAAAACACGAGCAATAGTCATTTTTTCAAATGGAGAAAAGGTTTCTATATAGTCAATACCAGTCATTTGGGTGTAACCCTTAGCTATGAGTCGAGCCTTTTTATCTTTCATCTAACCCATCAGGTTTGTATTTGACACGAAGACCCCACTTATAACCTATTGAATGCATACCCTGAGGAAGAGAAGTAATAGTCCAAGTATTAGTTAAAGCTAATGCCTCAAGTTCCTTGTTCATAGCTTCAACTTGGCTTCCTTGAAGGTAGTGGACCACGAATGGAGTTTACTGCAAGAGTAAACTTCTTATGAGTTGAAGACAGATTGTTTGGTAGCCATATGTTGAGAAATAGGATCCTGGATAGTGGGCTGAACAAAATTACAGTAATAGTCTTTTAGATAAGGAGGAGGCTTCTTTAGATGAGAAGAAACTCTATTTACAAAATAAGAAGAGGACAAATGAGAGGCTTTACTAATTTCTGAAATTGGGTCAGCATGTGATGAAACACTACTTGAAGATAGAGGAGTAGAGACATCTATAATGGGAAATGCTTCATGCATAAGGAAATCGAGAGTTGAAGAGGAAATATTGGTAGAAGCAAAGAGAAAGATATGTTCATGAAAAATGACATCCCTAGATTCAAAGAAGGTGTAATTTACAAGATTGTAAAGCTTTTAACCCTTTGTACCAAACAGACACCCTATAAATATGCATGGACTAGTCCTAGGTTGTAATTTTGGTCGATTAAGCAAAAGGGTGTAAGCATAGCATAAACAGTCGAATACCTAAGATGTGAATAATCAACAGAAGCATAAGAAATGACTTATTTGCTAACAGAGGTGAAGGCAACCTGTTATTTAAGCAAGTAGCATGCAACACAGCATGCCACCAAAAAGTAACAAGTAAAGATGAATGAAAAAGAAGGGCGCTTGCTACTGAAATGATATGTTGATGTTTTCGTTCTACACGGCCATTTTGTTGGGATGTTTGAATGCGTGATGTTTTGTGAATAATACCTTTGGATGCATAGAATTGAGATAATGCAAACTCTTTAGCATTATCAGTTCTAATTATCCCAACACAAATTTTGTATTGTGCTTCAACAAAGTGACAAAAGGTAGGTATGAGTGTAGAAGCTTCATATTTTAAATGCATTAGATACAACCAAGTTTTTCTAAAAAAATCATCTACTATAGTGAAATATCGCTGGCCATCAATGGTGGAAGTATCGTATGGTCCCTAAGTATCAATATGTATTAAACCAAATGGTTCAGTAGATAGAGAATCACTTAAGGTGAATGGTAACCATTTTTGTTTAGCTAAAAGACATGTATAACAATAAAAACTAGAATAAAATGAAATGGGACTGATCAGAATGACCTAGACTCTTTATTCTAGAAGTAGAAGGATGTCCTAAACAATAATGTCAAATATCAAAGGAGGAATTGTGAGTATTAAAGGAAACAGAAACATAAGGCGATTGTGATGGCTGAGTTGAGATAGTAGGAAGAAAGTGATAGAGGCCAGCCTTTTGTTCAGCTGTTAGGGGTGGCTATACGGTTTGGTCTAGTTAAATTGACATGAATTGATCTGGTCCCGTTCCGATCTTTTCGGAAATATAAGGACCAAAGATTGGATTGGATA